GTGACTACAAAAAAACACAATCAATAATAGTTAAGGAAATTACACTGCGACTCATAAAACAAGGACACCTATCATTTTCCCCAATTTCTCAAACGAACTCCAAAATATTTATAGGTTCTTTTCGTCATTAACTACTACGGTGGGTAGTAGTCTTGTCGCAACTTTTCATCTTGGTTCATAATCATACAACTTAGGAATCTACAAAAACATAAAATTCAGGTGACCCATAAAACAAGGACATATCACAAAAAACAGGATGTTTGTTATTCCACTGGGCGAAATCAATTGACCTAGGGCCAGAAATTATATTATCAGTATATTTGTAATATTTTGGTCCATAGTAGGTGTAAATTAAACAATTTCTTAGGCAGGTATGCCATAGCGAGGGGTAAATTCCAGGAATCTGGCAGAGGGGCAAAGTAGAAGCTTTACATGCCGATTGGTAGAGTATATCTAAAATTTCATAGCAGGTAATTGTCAGGCGACATTACGTAGTAACGTTCAAGACCAAAGGGACCACTTCCAGTGGAAGAAACAAGCAAGGTGGCACGCCTTAGATGCTGCAGAGAGAAAAATCCATCATTTTCCGTCGCTCAGGCAACTCCTTTGTGACTGTAAACCAGACTAAAGTGGTTTTCAAGCTTCCCCCAGCGAAATCAACGACGAGAAAAGTCCGGCGTGCTTGCCCGATCCTCTGCAGAAATAAAATGAAGAAGAAGCGTGTCCTCTCCGGGAAGCACAAAGATGCTCAATCGCAGTGGGCAAAAGACCGAATGACGTGGACCTCTGAGTCCAGCAGCACCGTATTTAGCGACGCAAATGAGTTACATTGGATGGCCCAGATAGGATCAAGTATAATTTGAATGACCTTATCGAAGAAACCCTAAGTTTTACCACATACATAGCAGGGAAGGTAATGCCATGATCTGGCCGTTCATCGGTGGCAGGATGAGGTCTCAAATCTTGGTGTTGCGACCACGCTGGACTCACAGGGTTATCAAAACGTTTCAGGGGAACATTTACCTCCTCGGAAGCAAAAACTCGGAAGAAGAAAACGGCTGCCTTAACAAGATAATGCCCCATATTAAGCTCCACGGTGATCAATGAAATGGTCCCAAGACAACGATATCAAGATTCTGCCTTGGCCATTGAGGTGCTTGGATCTAAATCCGATTTAAACTATTTGGGGATATTAGTCACGTTTAATTTATCCTAATACTCGGCAGTGTTCAACAGCTTCCGAACAAAAACAAGGAATCATTGATGCACGAGATTCAATGCCAAACAGTGTTGTCAATAAGCACGTGGGGTCAATGAATAATCCATTTCTTTCTGATATCAATAAAGTGCGTACTTGTACTGAGTATTGTTGGGAAAGAGAATTGATAAAACACAAAATAACTGGCTAAAATGGAAATAATTCCAAGCCTGTCCTTGTTTTATGAGCCACCTGATTTTTACGTATTGTTAGATAACTTCTCCGCCACTGCATCAATTTTAATGAAACTTTGCAACAAGACCACCAGGCACCGCAGTACTTAATGGTGAAAGAAGCATAAAAATATTTTGAACGGCCTTTGAGAAATTGGAAAAAATCCTAGGTGTCCTTGTTTTGTGGGTCGCAGTGTAGATTCAAAACTTATTTTTACTACCGGTTTGAATAAAATGTAAAGTTCAGCTTCTTCCGTAACGCTTAAAGTGGTCCAAAATATGGTAAACAATGCGATCCAGTAGATAAAAAGTAGAGGTGATCTTCGCAATCAAAGTTTTCCAAGCGATACACCCAAGGTGAGTGTATCGGTAATCGGAACTGTTTTGGTTGTAGTCAAACAATACCCTAGATTTTATCAACGCTTCGCCAGTCGGAAACACAATATTGCTGTGTTCAATTGGTATTACTCCCCACGCCCCCTTTGCAGCATTTATATTAGTCGGATTAAGCAATAGGGTCAGAATTAATTTTTGCTTGAAATTCAATATTTTAAAATAAGTTGGAAGAGAAAAACGAAACCAGTACAGGTAAAAATAAGTGTTCCATGTACCTAAACCATTGGGTGAGAATACGATGTATACCACGGCATTGTTGTGATATCCCCAAGTGTCGAATTCTAAGACGTTGAAATATCCACCATCATAAAACATGACGATTTCTATGCAACATGTTTTCCATAAGGGGAAACCTCTTGACGTGTTGGAGTACAGATTTTTCACAGCCAGACCGCTTTTATGGGCGAAGGATAAGTGGTTATCGTATTGAAAACCGAGATCCTGAGCGGTGGGATTTGATTCTTTGACTTTTTGAACTAGTGCTGATATTAACAAGCAGTTTGGATTATGGTTAAAGTTTAAGGCAAACGCTTTATGGAAAATCGAGGATATCAGAAATGATAGGACGAAACATATGAAATTTCTGGCCATTGTGGGTGAGGATCTATTTGAGAGATCCAACTGCTCAGGGAAATAGCAGAATTACCATTGCAGGATGGGTAAGGTAAAGAAAATTACTTTACACGTGTCAGTGGTAATTGTATGAACCACATTTGTATTAATGAGGTTTCTGGAAATCGAACTATTTGTAATTAGGCTCGCAGTTTGATGTACGCGAATAACATCCGCTATTTCCTAAATATATGTAAGCTGTATAAGAGTGATAAAATTCTTTCATTGTTTTAGAATTCAGCATAGGAAATAATCTTTATTATATAAGTGAAATATAGTCTAAAACTGTGTCAATACCCTTGACGTATTCTATGCTCAGGTTTACGCATGTATGCATGTACAAATGGATTTTCTTCCAATTATATAAACCATATATGAGTATTTAGATAATGTATTAAGGTAGTAATCAACCATATTAAAATGATAACCTTATGTAAATGCATTGTACAATAATAATTTTGCTTAACAGTACATATAATCAACAGGCCGTATCGTATGTAAATATTATGCGAATTCATACTTGGTTGATTTGCATAAAGTTACGTACATATTGGCAGTTCATATCCGCTCCTTTTATGTATCTGTCACGTGAATAAACATCATGAATGTCAAATGAAGTTATAGACCTTCATGATGGAGATACACTTAAAATTAGATGGTGTGAAGTATAACACTTCAAGTATCAGGCACCGATTTGATTGGAATTTTTAAATTGTCTAATTTCAAAATTCCCTTGCTCAATGACTTTTAACAAAAGCAAGTAAGCGCAATTTTATCTATTAGTTTTGATTATTATTTATTTCAGGTTCGTAGACTAGGAGGTTAAGTATTTTAGTTTTCCCGAATGACTCAGCTTATGCATATGTGAATGTGAGTATTGCAGACCTTGTTAGATAATCATGTAAACATCTAGGTATGTTTGGGAAATGATTTTTTAGAGTGTTATTTAATCTTTATATTGATTAATTATACGTGTCTCAATACAGACCATACGTTTTTAACGTCTTCTATACCGTGCACGCCTGTCATTTTCTATCAGTACATCCTCCAACTTTTCCGTTTTACCGTAATATAGTCAAATCGACTGCAAAGCATAAGGATGTATTCAACCTATTTCCTCCCCTTCATCGTACAACATTACCGCATTTGCCAGAAAATATTTAAATACTATCCATTTCAATTCGACCCGAAACTGAAACGATTCATTTGCAAAAATACTTCTCCCCGTGGGGAAAAAATGTTAAGGCTACTTTATCTAGTCATGCTTTCATACACGTTGTTTGTCTCATGTCACCTATGTCTCATGTCGATGCCGCTGGCTAAGAAAATTCAAGGTTTCGTCTTTTGTTTAATATTCCTTATAGTAACTGGCTCCTCTTGGACTTGGAATGTTTTAGACAAGGCTGAAATACAAATGATCAATACTTGCCTGGAGTTTGAGGATAAGATATTGGACGGTATGTAGGTCTATTAATCCGTACGTAGAATTTTCGAAGGAGTAGGGTTGTTTTAGGGTGCTGGAACATCATTAATTTGGAACTAGGCTAAATAAATTAAATATTTGTTGCTTTTGTCACGTGTGAAGAGAAATTCAAACCTTCCAAACAAGCCGAAGCCATGCTTATCTTTCTCAAGATGCTGAAACACTCCTACTACTTGAACCCGTTAGCAATACTGGGAATGATATTGCTTGATCCTTGCACCCCTCCGTTCATTCTGTCAATGTCAGCCAGCTGCTCGGAAATCCGGTGGAATGGATTAGTCATACTGATCCCACTTTTGGAAACGTACATCTGCTTTTGCTTCTTCTACATTGGGACGACCGGAATCGTACACAATTTCTTCGTCGGAATTAGCTCGCTCTTGAACTACTTTCAGCTACTCGACAGGTGAAATCAATGGTCAAACTATGTATTTTAAATTCGTGCACGTCACATTGAAAAGTAACAACTTTTTGAATGCTCAGGAAAATACTGGAAACTGCCACAACGATCGGGGGCGAATCGTGTCTTCAAAGATACCGCATGATCCAACTAATTGAGAAAATAATGAATGCATTTCTCATGGAGAAGGTTGCGCCGTCCTTAGTTTGCGGGATGCCACTGCTGCAAATAGTTCTGCAATATGTGACCATCACGATGTATGGCGGAATTGCGATGCCAGTCTTTCTCATGTTCCCCATGACTATGGTGAATGCGATAGTAAATAATATACTCATCTTCACACTGGCGTCGTGGGTCTTCAATTCGTCTGTGAAATCTCTGAAGAAATTGGAAATGAGGATTTTACAGTGTACGAGGCGATCCGTAATTCGAAAGCAGTTGAAATCATGTGGAAGGCTTAAGATTAAATTTGGGTCTAATTTTATCGACAGTGGAACACCGTTGGTGATACAGGATTTTTGCTTCAATCAAACCATGTCGCTCATTTTAATAAGCGAAGGAAAACAAATATAGTTCAAATATATTTGTGATGCCATATTTTGTATCAAGTTCAAGAGTAGAATTACAAATTATAGCATACTTTATGGGATGAAATATATTTTCTAAATGTGGAATCGATCATTTTTTAAATAAGTTACAAATTTATTGTTGAACTGTTTTTTATATTGGGAAAATGCTGTATTGAATGTATGTAAGGATTAGCCGAATACTTAGTGGTCTACTGGAAAATAATATAGTGTTTCATTTTACAATATGGAATAAAATATTAGTTGCATGGCTAAATATGTTACGAATTCTGCAAGTGTTCAGTTTTGTTGAAATTTATTCCCACTCAAAGTCAAATCCCGTCCTGGTGTCGGTGCTATCAGAATTAAATCTTATCAAGCCAAGACCTTCGGGTAAAGTAAGACTTGGAGGAATAGTTGTTCGACAAAACCTTTAATAAAAAAGAAACATTTTTTTACATTCATCCCAGTTTGAAACTAGAGAGTTATACATTTATGTAAATTCTTGTAATTCTACAAAATATGTAACACAACTATGATTGTCAATTGTGGGGCAAAGCAAGGATTAAAGTACCGATTTACGAAAGTGCTTTTGCCATTTCTTGAAAGTACCAACAGTACCAAATTTATGACCATAAATCTTAGTACCCAGGACGGATTTTGACGCGAAACGACCGGTCCTTTGCTTTGTATTAAACTACTCCTGTAGTCGACTTACTGGAATTTCATTACAAAGTGTACCAAATGGGAATCGAAGTGTTTCTTAAAATCGGTTGCAAAATATTACTAAAGTTTCGTCTCCCCGTTTTTGCTAAATATTTTCATTTGGAAAATACGTCCCAAGTTTTAGATTTAACATAAGAGATATGTCTCGACTTACCTAGCAACTTCGCTGAACTGATTGTTAAACCAGGTGTAGGTTCTGACACTATCAAAGTTACAGTCCGCATTATACTCGACATCCACCCTGGTGAAGCGTAACGTTGGTTGAGATGGAGTTGAAGGGCAAAGTGTGAACCAGTCGATGACACTGTTGTTGTACTGCCCTCCACCTACCGGGTAGCTGTAATTGCCCTTCACTCCGGTCAAGCTGGCGTGACCGGTCAATATTTGATAATTGTCTGGACCGCTGGAGAAAAACTGGAGGCTGAATCCCATCGTGGGGGCGTGTCCGACGTTTAAAGTGATGAAGACATTTTTCGAAGGGAGTGTGTAATTCTGACCAACAGTTGTCCTTAAGTAGAAGAAAACTAAATATGTCAACGCCTGAATCGAGTATATTTCGTAAGAACCGTCGAAATCGGAATGTTTTTAATCGTTTCTCGGCTCTGCGAATTTAGTTTCAAATTCTTGATGACGATTTTGCATTCCCATTTTTTAAATTAACATTCCAGATTTCGAAATTTTTTAAGGGGGGGATATCAAGGTTAAGATTTGTAGGACTAAATGACTCCTATCTAACCTAAATCTCCAAAATCAACACATCTTCCAGGATTTCTAGTAGGCTCTGGAAATTTATTCTAAAATTCTGGAAGACTAGTTCTGTGAGCATGGTGTTTCCAGTTTTCTAAAAATATGCAGTCAAGATTATGACAGTTCTTGATCATAAGCTTAAGGAACCTTCAGAAAAATTGGAACTCCTCAAAACCGGCCAAAAACTCAACGCTATCTTATTATTTAACTTACACACTATGTAAAAATTTGTCGTCAAAAATATTAAAATAAATTCGAAATTGTTCGTATGTAGATGTGCAGGGATGTGGAATCAGATATGGGGGGTTATGCCAATATTTATAATTTCGTTAATAATTCTGCGGAACTTACACCCTCGTTTGAGCTCCTGGGCCGGCCGATGCGTACCCGAAATCGGTCAAGTATAAACCGTCCGACTCCTTAAGGCCGGATGAGACGAGCAAGAATCGCTGATTCTGAGCGGGAGCTTTCAAAGTCCAAATGCAACGCATGTCCGCCCGAATAGAACCTCCCACTTGGAAATTGATCGTTCCCGAGGAAGCCACAATATAACCGCCGCATGTTGTAACTAAAATATTTTGACATTATGTATGTTTGTGTCAAACAACCGTGGGAATTCATTGGGAAACAGTTTTAGCTTCACATATTTATTGCTATGCCGGTTTTACTAGAAAAATATGGGAAAATCAACAATTCAAAAGTGTTTCCAGATCTGTTTGAAACAGCCGACAAAATTCGCAAATTCACTCGCGTTATGCATTGCGAGTTTACATGCCCACATCGCAATTTAATTCGCCAGTTAAATATGCACTTTCAGAAACGTATGTATGTAGTTAAAGTTTTTTACGACTATTTTTAACCATTTTTTGGGGAATTTGGCAATTTTTTTGTACGTTACGAACTCCCTACGAACACCCCATTAACTCCAATTTTGATATTTTATAATCGATTAATACCTGTCTCAACTGGGACTGGATCCTCGGGCCGGTTATTCTGGAAGATTTCTGGTTCACCTTGTGAATAAAAGATTAAGCTAAAAATTAACTAAAATGTTCAATTAAATTTTTATTAATCAGTCTTCTAAAGAACTTATGAAAAAGAAGGAAACGTTTCCAAAAAACGTACCCTGGGCCGACATGGCTAGCAGGACGAGGAATAAGAAAACAATGGTTGAGTACATGTCTGTTTGAGTGCACCTCACTTCTTGCTCTAATTACAATATGCTGTTTCGTCCCAAATTTATATCTGTATGCACCAGCGTACGTTCCATGCATAATTGATTTTCGACCTTATCGTATCTCGTTATCAGACTAATTGAAGAGATAAGTAGTTGTTTATTGCGTCATGTCCAGTCCAGGTTGGCAAGGGAGTTTTATAAAGTGGAAAGTTTTGTCAATATATATCAACTAGAGTGATTGGGTTGGTTGGCTGACAGATCCTTATATGTATTTAAAATGAATTGATAAAATGAGGCGTTTGTAAATAACACATTTCGTAACCAATTTTTTAATCGAATCAGATCGGCTTCAGTTTATTAGGTACGTATTTGGTATTCATGTTTCATTTTATACATATATATTTAAACGTATGTATAAACGTATTCATTGAATATACTCTTGTATGTGTTTTAAAGATGCGTAGCCAATTTAGAAATTGACGAATTTGCTAGCCTGGGGATTGCGTTTCTCCTCTTTTTATGCAAATATCTCAGCCGAACCTGCGTACTGGCAGATACATAGTTTCATTTACAAATTTCATACTAATTATATTTGTGATCGATTGACACTAGTTTCGTCCAAATCTGTGAGCATACGTTGGGAGACCTCCATTGTTAGTTAGCATAACTAACAATAAATATGGCAGAGCTGCTTGAACTTATATACATATTTGGCTACATACATTCTAAGATACATGCTAAGATTTCATACCCATGAATACCCTGGATGCCAAGCAATACTGGGAAGTTTCCATGAAAACTTACACCGATATAAAAAGTTTGGCATTGCACTCAAAAAATCTCTAGACTTCGCCTTATTCAAAAATGCATTGCTTTGTTAAAAAATCGTAGGGCGATAATTATGATCAAATTCTTCCATTGTTCGGTAATTACTAGAAATTTAATAAATCTGAAATTCAATAATTATCTATGTATGTATATACAACTGTTTGAATAGACCGAGATAAATATGTGACAATTCCTTCCAAGTTGATTAAACAAAGCTACATACCTATAATAATAATAATTTATTCTTGAAAATTCTTACAAGGCTCATGGCCCATAGAATTACATGTTAGGTTACATCGTAAAGCATTAAATAATAAATCAATAATACTACAATGACGATTATTTCCTTGCAAAATTATCCTAAATAAAGAACGTCCGGGAATGAATGGGAATGGTCTGAAAATGTGGTCATAAAATCACAATGAGTTATCGGAATTTTAAACTTTTTGCATATGTATAATACCAAATACGTACCTACATAATTTAATTAATAGCTAAGGCCGCCACACCCCCGTTGGCGACTAGTTCGATTTTCTTGCGAAGATTTTTCATTAAATTTTTTCCCGAAGTTTTTGCCACTTCCGAGGTGATTTTCTTCCATCGTCCTTTGAATTTTCGAAAGGTGTCAGGCACATCTTGAAGCCGGGAGTATACTGACTTAGAACGTGCCCAGAATTTTTCGATTGGGCGGAGTTGGGGTACATTAGGTGGGTTGATATCTTTTGGTACGAAATCAATATTTTTCTTTCTGAGGTACTCGGTCACTTTCTTTGCATAGTGACAAGTGGCGAGGTCAGGCCAAAACAAAACTTTATCATTTTTGTGAAACCTATTAATAAATGCTTCCAATCCAGCCTTGACGCAATTTTTCAGATAAATATCTTGATTGATATTCCCTTCGAGAACTACCGGGTCTGATACATGTCCGTGACTGGAGATGCATTGCCAAATGCAATATTTCTTTGGAAATTTGTCTTTTTTTCGTACTTTTTCTTCATAAGCCACTTCAGAGGGATCCGAGCTATGAAAAAAATGACGCCCTGGAAGATTTGAAGGGTCAACCGGAACATACGTTTCGTCATCCAGGATCACTACTTTTCCACGCATTTTCTTCAACAATTTTTGACAGCAATCCTTGATCCGACTTTCTTGTACGGGCTTGTAATTTGGTGCAGGTTTTTTGGTCCTTGCTTTGATTCCTAATTTATGGACCTTAATTTCCCCCAGGTAGCTTTTGGAAATTTTGACTTTCCTGGCAGCTACAGCTACTGACGTTGATGGCTTGGTTTTGAAAATTTTTTCAATTCTATTTTTCACTCGAGTGGTCGCTAGCTTCGCCGGACGACCAGCTGGCTTCTTGAATTGCACATTTTCGGAATCCTTGAACTTTTTTATGTAGGAATACACATTTGAACTTGGAATTCCTTCCTGCTTAAAAAAGTTCCAGGTCACCTTGGAGTCTCGGTTGGCTGTCGTGTTGTAGAACTCCATCACTCGTTTTGCTAACAGCTCCCTTTCAAACAAGCTTCTTCTACCCTTATCCATTTTTGAAATTTAAGAGTGATATACCAAATTGACCCTAATGAAGTGGGCTTTCAGAAATTTAAATTATTATAGTTCGCGGGTTTATTGATTTGTCAATATACTCGCTAGAGCGCGCATTCCCATTCATTCCCGGACGTTCTTTACATATTTACCCTGCTTACTTTTGGTTACGGAATAATATTTATTTAGCAAATAATGTTTTACAGTTTACTCCATATTTTGGAAACCCCTTTCATAAGCAGTATTTGATTAGTGCCACGATTCGTCAATATTTACCATATCTTATTTGTGCCGGGTAAATACATATTTTCCCCGATTTCGATGCTGACCGAATAAAATCGAATAGCAAACTCATAACTTAAAATCTTAATCTTTCATTAACCCGAAACGAAACAAAATGATTCTTTCTTCAATTTCCGATTTGACACGGCTTCAAATAAAAATAATTTCTTACTTTGTCCCCTGTCCGATCTTTCTTCTTCTTAAGAAGAAACCAATCCTGTACAAAATTCGGTATAAATCACTTTCGAACCCCGTTCCACGGTGTTCGCCCTATTCGGCATTTTCCTCTCATCCAATGCAATTTATCACTTAACTCGGTCAAATTAGGATATCATGAGGAAATTTTCAACCACATTTTTCGGATTCCTTCTCCCCATCACGATACTAATGACGGTGTCATGTCTGTACATTAATGCGGAAAAGTGTGTCACCTTACTAAATTTTATACTAACTTATGAAAAATTCTTAAATTCTCGGCAAATTCGAAGTTACCAGAAGATAGTGAAATTAATCGTGGGCCTGTTAGGCTTAGTGGCATCAATTGTAGCTCCGATTTTTCTGATTGTAATTAATATCCTAGAACCAGAGCGAGCCCCGTCTATCGGTTCTGTAATAAAAAATGTTGTTAAAAGTAGATTCGCATATTTTGTGGGGCATTTTGCCGCAATTATACTGCAAGGATGGATATACGCCTGGTTAGCGCCAGGATTTTGTATGGCGATATTTAACATTTTTATTGCCTCAATTTTTTCCATGTTGGTCTGTCTTCTAGAAATCAGGAGGTAAGGTTTGATAATAAATGTACAGGATGGTTTAAATGGCATGCTACAATGGAAACTTTTTTAGTGGAAAAAAATTCGTAAATTTCCGTTAGTTACTGTAATTTGCTTCTGAAATTCAACATTTTAAGAATTTTGTCCTCCGTTTTGACCAAACTATTCGGTAAATTCGCAAAATTTCGGAAATTAATGGGAATTTACGATTTTTCCTATTGAAGAATTTGTAATTGTAGCGTGACATTTAAACCACCCTGTATATGGCAGCAAGAATCAGTTTCATTAATTTTTAATTTAGTTACTTTCCTAGTACCAAAATAGTTCAGAAACCAACAATCTTTTGAAAGCTTGATGAATACATACACGATTGAAGTAACGATCGTTACTTTAATACAGAAAATTTAATTTCCCAGGATACATTTCTAAAATGTTTTTTATAAACTTGAGAATCTTTTAAATGGAAAAATATATATCTTTGCGCTTTTCAGCTGGACAAAATTTGCCACAATGTCAAAATTCTCACCGGTAACAATTTTATCAAAACAATTGACAAAGTACAACAAACTGAGGATAATCGAAAATCAAACTAATCTCACGTTCAGGGCTGTCTTTGTTCCTTGTTTAGTTCTCATTTTCGTTTTCGGAAACATTCTGAGCACCTTTATAGCCATCTCGTATCTCCGGGATGGGACCTTGTTTCAAAATTTTGGTCACTTTTACTTCCTTCTGGCCAGTGTGGAGACATACTTGGGGGCCCTGTGCTTTGGTACGTTGTCCGGAAAGGTGAACAAAGTGTCGATCCAATTTCTACACAAGCTAAAGAAATGTAGCTTTACATCTGACCAAGTTCTACGCAAGAAAATTGGAGCCTGTGCTCCAATCAGGATTTGTTTTGGGAGTAATTTTTTCAACATTTTGACACCTCTAGTAATAATTGGAGTTTGTGTTAAGTGGACGGTTAAACTACTTCTGATCAAGACGGGGTGCTAAAGAATTATTAAAAAAAAGGTCTAATCATGAATTACATACTGTAAATAGATTTTGGTAAATTTCATTACTGGGATTGAACAAAATCGCCCCAAAAAAGGTTATTGCAGGCAGGTTCTCCTTTTAAAACTCGAACCATAATAGGGAACATTCTGAAATGAATATAATTTAGAAATGAAGAAAAAGCTCTTTACATGATACATGTGATTTAGTGTAGTGAAAATTCCAAGGTCAATTAATGTCACATAGTAAATAAAGTTGTTAATTGGAGTTTTATTTTTCTTAGTGAGGCAAATACCTAACAACGAAAAAAATTACTAAGTATGCATTTGACCCACCCCAAAAAAGTGACCATCTGCGATATCTCAGTCATTTCTCAACCGATTTTGATGAAATTTTGCACCGATTATTGTTGCATAATATAGAAATGGGATCTGATCCGACTAAGCGATTACGTGATCTTGACCGGAATTATGGGCAAAAATGTAGCCTTAGAAACACATTTGTAATTATTGCTGGTTACTAGCAAACTTTATCAACAGTTTGATACCCACGAATTGTAGGGCAGTTTATCCCGAAAATTTAAAGCATAAATATATCAAAATCTGTTAAGAATTGGCTTAGTTATTCCAATTTGAAGTTCAGAAATTCCTGCTCGTGCTACGAATCATTGCCATTGACAACGACGCAAGACTAATAAATTGAAAACAAATTACATTCAAAACTGTAAACAGCACAACTAGTCGTTTCTGTAACATGCTTGGTAAACTGCGTGAAATTGTTGTTGTTGGGTTTGCACCTCCAGATCAGGTGTTTAGTAATCTAGGCCGGACATTTTGACCAAAATGATATAAATCGGTTAAGAAATAACGGATTTATTCAATTTTAAACACCCAGCATTTAATAAAATTATTCCGCATCAAACTACTGAAAAGGGGTAGTGCAATGCAGTTATCCAATGGGCAATCTAATTACCCAATTAAAAGTTATAAATAAACAAGGTCCCTAAAAAGGGGAAATCTTAGTGAGGGAGTGCAATCACAACTAATAAATAAAATTAGATTGAAGAATTTTTGCATCACCGCTCTCGGTACCATTTTTACTGGAAGAATTAATCGTTTAAATTGAACACTTGCTCCCTCAAAAGGTTCGATGATTTTGCATAGAGTAGCCAAATTAATATATGAAATTGAAATTTGTATATTTTTTTAAACAAATACGTAGCTCATAATTATTTAGTCATTATATCTTACATATCTACCTCAGTTAATTTAACCCACTTCTCGTTCACTACACAGTAAAAATGTATTTCTTCCTCAATTTATTCAATAAAACTAACAATTCATGCATATGCAAAGAAAAATTTATACTGCATCCAGTAAAAATAGTACCGAGAGCGGTGATGCAAAAATTCTCCAATCTAATTTTATTTATTAGTTGTGATTGCACTCCCTCACTAAGATTTCCCCTTTTTAGGGACCTTGTTTATTTACAGATATTATTAATGCAGAATCACTTAATTATCTATTACGGTTATTTGCAGCATGAACGCTCTTATAGTATAAGATACGGGCTGATAGTGAGTTATACATAATGAATTTTCGTGACTAATTTTTTAATTGAGTCAAAATTATTGGGAACTTATCTACTTACATGTTTGCTGCAAATCTTAAAGATTGTATTATTTTTCGATTAAATTCTTACATCACGCTAACGAACAAATAAATTGATGATTGAGTCGAATTAATTCTTGAATTATTGCCACACGTGCCACTGTCAGTGGAAAATAACTTCTGGGTAAGTATAGACCCTAGGAGAATTGGAAAAATGATGATAAACCGTGTCAAGTTTATGTATTTTGGAAAACAAACCTTCATCAGAGTGCTACCTTCAGTTAATTTTCGAGAGGTAAAAATTACGATTAAAAATTTCCATTGTTTGTTCGATTTCCTCGAAATTTAATTCATCGGAACTTCAATAATTATGTAGAAGTGTTTGAATAAACCTATATACAGTGTCGGACAGATGTCTACGTCCACATAGTCGCGTCAATTTCATTTTCAAATTGTCACTGAACTACTGAACCAATTTTCATCATTGATATATCAAATTCTCACAAATTTAACGTAATTTCATAAAACATATGAGTTATTTCTGAAAATTCTGGGAAAACTGAGAATCATAGTGCAGAGCGAGAGAGGATGAAATTTGAGCGGACAAAAGTCTACGTCCACTTCACTTTAATTGTCAACAACAAAAATCTCTCCAATTTATAAAATCAGGTAACTTAATAAATCTATCAATAACATATGCCGCATTAATTTTTAAATAATTTTCTTCCAGAAAAATATGATGGCGTCGACACGCAAGGAAATTCCTATCGCTATTCGAGATCTTGTCATTCAGGACTGGAAGGGTGGACAAAAAGGGGGCTGTCGCAGAGACAAATATGGACCAAGTATAAATTAGCAAGGACAACCATCCAGACAATCATTAAGAACTTTAAAGCTAATGGTTCAGTCCAAAACAAGGTCAGAAGTGGTCGAAAACCCATTTTGGCTCACCGAGAAGTACGCCACGTGCTCAACAAAGTCAACGTTACACCCTCACTTAGTGCTCCAAAGCTATCTACCGAGATCAAGGAGATGTTCGGCAAACAGGTTAGTCCTATGACCATCCAAAGAACACTGAATAAGGGAAATTTGAAATCCCACAGAGCAGTCCGGAAGCCTCTTATTGTACCGAGGAATGCAACCAAACGAGTGAAGTTTGCCAGAGACCACATTTCCAAGCCACAAACATTCTGGGACATATTTTATGGACTGACGAGTCAAAGTTCAATGTCTTTGGGTCAGATGGGCGTCGTAGAGTGTGGAGATATCCAAAAGAAGCTTTGAATCCAAAAAATCTCAACCCCACAGTTAAGCACGGCGGCGGGTCGGTAATGGTGTGGGGATGCATGGCTTCAAGTGGGGCAGGAAAAATGGAATTTATTGACGGAATTATGGACCAATACAAGTACCAGGGAATACTTGACCGTAATATCCAGGAATCTGTTCGAAAACTTGGACTTGGACGACGATTTGCCTTCCAACAAGACAACGATCCGAAACACTCTGCCAAGTCCACCATGGAATACTTCAAGAAAAAAAAATTCCGAAGCTAGAATGGCCTCCCCAATCTCCAGACTTGAATCCCATTGAGCATCTGTGCGACCACATTGAAAGAGAAATAAGAAAACAATCTTTTTCAGGAATTCCGGGCCTTAAATCCAGAATTCGTGAAGTTTGGGAAACCATTTCTGAAGATGTGACCAAGAATTTGGTAAACTCAATGACTCGACGCCTTGAAGCCGTCCTTAAAGCGAACGGAGGCCCAACCAAATATTAAAAATTAATTGTTATAACATTCCTTATAAATTACAGTTTTTTTTGTATGTTTTCTCTGACTGGACGTTGACTTTTGTCCATCCAATTGTTTTCATTTTGAATTAAAATACATCTCTGGCCTAAAATAAATTTTTTAGCGGAAAACTAATAATGTGCTATGAAATTACGTTAAATTTGTGAGAATTTGATATATCAATGATGAAAATTGGTTCAGTAGTTCAGTGACAATTTGAAAATGAAATTGACGCGACTATGTGGACGTAGACATCTGTCCGACACTGTAGGTAAATATGTGCAAATTGATCTCATATTGGTGAAACCAGAATAAACACATAGGTAGGTACATACCTTTCCTTAGAATACCATTTAGCTAATAATATTTTAACATTTTCTCCATATTCTGGAAAACCTTTTAATAAGCGAGCCGTATTTGATGAGGCCCACGATTTACCAATATTTACCAAATCTTATTTGTATCGGGAAAATACATTCATCAACTTCTACGCTGAACGAATACATACATACGCCTCTGATTTGCATAATTTATTTTACATTTGCATAAAGGTATTTCCTCTTGTAACATAGTTTAATTAAAATCCACCTAGAACCCATTCATGAGCTCTTAATAATTTAAGTTCTTAGTCTAGCAAAGTATTCTATCAGCACGTAGACCTAGTAGCTCTGACAAAATGACTCTGTCTTCAATCTCCGATTTAACCCGGCTTCAAATAAAAATTGCTTCTTACTTTGTCACCTGTCCGATATTCCTTCAACCCCGATTCGGTACAAAGTTCGGCATGAATCCCTTTCGAACCACCCGATTCCTCTCACTGTTTTGGCATTATTCACGATTTTCGTCCCGGTTAGTTCAATCTATCATTTAACTCGGGCTAATTTGGATATCACGACGAAAGCCTCGATCACACTGTTCGGATCGATTCTGCCCATCGGGATATCAATGACAGTGACAAGTTTCTATGTAAATGTGGAAAATATTGTGAGCCTGCTTAACTGTATACTAGTTTATGAACAAAACCTGTTTACCATGGAGATACCCCGAAAGATTCGAATTTATCAAAAAATAGTGAGAGTAATCGTGGTCCTGTTGGGTCTGGTGGCGTCACGCGTATCTCCAGTTTTGCTTATCTTAATTAATACGTATCATAGAACCAGAAAGGGCTCCGTTTGTTGGTTCTTTGATTCAGGCGGGTAGTAGAATGGAATATTTTTTGGGGCATGGTGTCGCAATTATTGGTCAAGGCTGGATATACTACTGGTTGGCAAGTGGACTTTGTATGGCGATATTTAACATCTTTATTGTCTCCGTTTTTTCCATGTTAGTCTGTCTTCTGGAAATCAAGAGGTAATTTAAATAATTAGTGTTGGAACGAGGAAGTTTTTTTTATGAATTAGAATACTGTTATTTTTATGATTTCAAATGAGATTACCCTTTCCCTTACATAAATCCATTTCTGCGCTAGCATTCAAACTGGTTCGTAAGAAAAGCCAAGTTTTTCAATGATACTCCTAAAAATTCTTATGGCTGCCAGGTAACCTTTTACAGAAAAATGGTTTAAATGACGACGTCACGTGTGCTTGGTGCATGAGTTTTTGGCTTATCTCCCCCTGGTGATAAAATGTCTCCTAAATCGTTACCCAAAAATAGAGCAGTATAGCACCTCCGTCGGGTGAAGATTTGTCTCCAACTTATTTAGAGTGTACACAGTTATCTCTGTAAAATACTTTCGTAAGGGAGCCGCATGTGAGTTGTAACACGATTTGTCAATGTTTTCCGAGTTTTACATATTTCTTCCGGTTCAATACATACATCGATTTCCATGCCGGATGAATAAAATTTAATGATTTATAGTTCATCACATTGTTGATTATACATAAATAGTTCCACATTACATTCTCAGCTCATAACTTAAATTCATCGTGCAGAAACTGTTCGTTCATAAAAGCACTAAATTTTTCTAAATTAAATTTTTGATTTTTTGTCTGAGTATCTTATCTGCAAAGCGGTTATCAGGCACAGTCAGATAACCTCTTAGATTATTAGTTATCCTTTGCTTCAATACCTCTTGCGAAATGATTCTATCTTCAATCTCCGATTTAACCCGGTTTCAAATAAAGCTAATTTCTTACTCTGTCCCCTGTCCGATCTTCCTATCTCTTAAGAAAAACCCGATTCTGTACAAAATTCGGGATAAATCACAACATTCGAACCGAATTCTTTTCATTGTCTTGGCCTCCTTCAGTATTTTCCTTTCATCCAGTGCAACGTATCATTTAACCCGGCCAAATTTGGATACCGTGACGAAAGCGTCTATCATATTTTTCGGGGCAATTGTGCCCATCGCGATATCAATGACGGTGTCAATTCTTCACGTCAATGCGGAAAATTGTGTCACTATGCTGAACTTTATATTAATTTATGAACAAGTCGTCTTCCGGACAAGGGGATCCGGGCAGATTCGGATTTATCAAAATATAATGAAAGGAATCGTGACCCTGCTAGCATTACCGGGGACAATTCTGGGTCCGGTTTTTCTCACGCTAATAAATATTTTGGAACCTGGGCGAGCCCCGTTTATTGGTTCGGCCATTCAGCCTGATATGGTGAGAACATGTACCTGTTCACTTTCATTCATGTGATTCATTATGATAGTGAGTGAAGGATTCCGTAATTTCAGATGAATTGCTGTGAATGAAAGGATTTTTCACTCCTTGTAATTTGTACCCTATGCTCAATACAAGGGGTGAAGAAAGAAATCAAGCCAGATGAAGTGAAATGAATTTGAACGAAAATGATTGAATTTGAATGAAGATCTTCAGTCAGAAATAAGGATGACTAAAACTTTTTAATGAAAACTAAATTTTTGAACAGGTATGGGTGGGAGGTGGAGGGGGCTATTTTATGGGGCATTTTGCCGCAATTATGCTACAAGGATGGATATACTACTGGTTATCGAGTGGACTAAGTATGGCAATATTTAACATTTTTATTGCCTCGATTTTTTCCATGCTGGTCTGTCTAATCGAAATAAAAAGGTAACTACTAACAATGCGATGGTGTCAAGTGTAACACTACGATTTGGTTAAAATTTTAAAATTGTGTGATCCAACCCAAGTCAATACAACCAACGTTTCTTGTGCGATGGTTGGAATTTGTCGAAATATTTGGGTTCAAAATTGAAAAACGGTCGATTTTACCCTGGTGGATGAAGCAGACTACAATTCTCATCTCATAAAAAAATCGCATATTTTTCAACTTTGACCTCAAATATTTTGACAAATTTCAACCATCGCACAAACTGCCTGAAGGAACGTTGGTTGTATTGACTTGGACCACATAGTTTTAACATTTCAACCAAATCGGAGCTTTACACTTTACACCATCGCATTGTGCGATGTTAGTCGTTCGTAACAATAACGTTTATTGACACCTTGGAGGGATTTATTCATTTACCTAAAGCTATTTTTTGCAACAATTTAATTGATTACACTAAGATAATTATTACATAACGATGAATCATTAAACTTGTTCCTTCTCTCTCTCTATCCTTTAGCAACAACTAATAATTGTACTCGTGTTTAGCTGAAATCAAAAATTAACCTTTTTCAGCTGGACAAAACTCAACGCCATATCAAAATTCTCACTGGCCTCAATTTTAAGAAAACAATTGGAAAAGTATAACGAATTAAGGATCATCGAAAGTCAAACCAACGCCACCTTCCGAGCCGTGTTCCTGCCCTGTATCGTTCTCCTTTTCGCCGTTGCAAACATCCTGAGCTCTTTCATCTCCATTTCGTGTCTCCGGGATGGCACCTTGTTTCATAATTTTGGCCACTTGTACTTCCTTTTTATCAGTTTGGAATCTTATTTGGGGTCTTTCTGCTTTGGAACGTTGTCCGGAAAGGTGAATAAAGTGTCGATCAAACTTTTACGGGGTCTTGGGAAACATAGCGTTGCAGATTATCCCGCTCTACGGGAGAAAATTGGAGCCTGTGCTCCAATCAGGATTCGTTTTGGGAATAATTTTTTCACTATTTTGACACCTCTGGTAATAATTGGGGTTTGTGTAAAGTGGACGGTTAAACTGCTCCTGATCAAGATGGGGTGTTAGGGGATTGTTGCGGTATATACAATTGAATTTCATAATCACTCCAAAAAAGGTGATTATGATGTGAAAAAACGATTATAGACAAATAATGTAGGTTTGATTTTTACAAGGATTTTTTCATATGCAAAGTTTATGGCGTACGGGTGAACTTTAGTTAATTACTAAAGTTTCTGAACTAATTTAGTTTTTCCTTATAAAATCCAGAAATAGTCTGAAGCAGTTAACAAAGTTTACAAAGTTTTGTCTAAACTTTAATACCGAGCTGTTATATAAGTACTACATACACGGTATTATTTGTCAATGCCATATTGGAAGTCAGAAATGAATACCGCCTTGTATTATTTAAATACTGGAATTCTATGTAAGTGTTCATGACACATAATGGTTCATTGGTAAATAATATTTCCTATAACGTTATCTCTGGAAATGCTTGCGTAAAAAGGCCACATTTGAGTTGTAACACGATTTGCCAATGTTTACCGACCGAGTCATACATACATTCTTCCGGTTAAATACATCCATTTCCATGCCGGACGAATAAAATTTAATAATTTATTGTTTATCACATAAATACTTCTACATTACACGCTCAGCTCATAATTTATGTAAATCCATCATGCAGAAACGGTTCGTTCAATAAAGTTGGGCTAAATTTGTCTAAATACAGGGTGTTAATAAAGTCCGATCCCATTTTTCCTGTAAAAAAGTGAAGGCTAGTATAAAAAAAAACTACCCGTGATACTTACAAAAAATGTTCGACATATTTACCTTAGTATTTGGTCTTGTTACCATTTACTTTAACCATGCCCTCAACTCTTTGTTTAAGGCTCTGTGCTAATTTTTCCAATGTGCCTCTGGAAATCGAATTCCATACATCTTGAACTTTTTTTTACTAGCTCTTCCCTCGTCCGGGGTTGTGGCTCTTTGTATACATTTTCCTTAAGTATGGACCACTGGTTCTTCAGGGGATTCAAATCTGGGCCGTTAGCGGCCCACACCCCCTTGCTCCAGACCGTTGAAACTTGCGTCTTGATGAGACTCAAACTCGCTTTTGCTGTATGGGCTATAGCACCATCCTGCATGAAAACTATTTTTCTTTCATTCGGAAATATTTCCTTGTTCCCCATGCTATCGAAATAGATAGGTAATATTTTTTCCATATAATGCTTTGCATTGACTGATTGGCCTTTTGGTATGATATGTAGAGGGGTCACGCAACGTGCACAAAATCCACCCGCTGCCATAACTTTAAGCCCGAATTTTGGGATCGCTCTTGATGGTACATCCGATTTGTTTTCTGTCCTGTAACGAACATTTTGTTGGTTCAATTTTGGATATAGTTCAATAATAGATTCGTCAGTCCAAAGGATGTGACTGCGCAATTCTTCACCAAGTCTTTTTTCACTCAAATGGGCACTTTTCTGAAGGAGTTCTTCAAATTTCAGACGGTCATCGATATATTTTTGTGACATGAGAGGTTTTTTTGGTTAGTTTGTAAGCTGTGTGACCCCACTTCGTAGTTTTCACAAATTTTTGCACGGTCACACAGTTAATTTGCTTCTTCTTCTCTTTATAGCGTTTTGAGTCATTTAACTCCCTTGCTCAATTACGTAATGAACTACCGGTTTTCTTGCAAAGTCTGTTTTTAATCATTCTTTTTGTGGTAGGTGACACCTTTCTGGGTCGCCCTGGTCGCTTTTTGTCGTGGACAAAATTTGTATTCTTCCATTTCCAAACAGTTCTGCGGCTGCAGCCCAATTTTTGCACAATTTCTGTAGGTTTAAGCCCCTGCTGATGCAATGTTTGTATCTCAACTCTAAGATGCTCATGACTTACACGTTTAGTTGTTCCTCCCATGGTAAAAATTTGAAATAAATAACTTCACTGGTTCAATAGTTCCAGCTGAATTTGTAACAACCACGCTCCAAAAAATGCATGGGATCGGACTTTATTAACACCCTTTATGTAAAAATTTTGATTTTGTGCCATTTTGCTAGCAAACCAGTCTGGCAGAGTTTGCTATCTGCAAAGCGGTTATCGGGCTGCCAGATAACCTATTAGATTTTTATTAGTTAAACTGAACTTAAATCATTTATCAAACCATTTGATCAGTATTTACCAAATGATTCTGTCTTCAATTTCTGATTTAACCCGGTTTCAAATAAAGCTAATTTCTTGTTTTGTCCCGTGTCCGATCTTCCTTCCTCGCACGAATAACCCTATTTTGTACAAAGTTCTGTATAAGGCACTTTCGAACCCAGTTCCCCTCACGGTATGCGCCTTATTCGACATTTTCCTCGCATCCAGTGCAATTTATCATTTAACTCGGACAAATTTGGATGTCACGACGAAAGCTTCGATCACATTTTTTGGAGCGATCCTGCCCATCGCGATCTTAATGACGGTGTCAAGCCTGTACATAAATGCGGACAAGTGTGTCACCTTACTCAACTTTATATTGAGCTATGAAAAATTCCTAAAATCTGAGAAAATTCGAATTTATCAGAAAATATTGAAGTTGATCGTGCGCCTGTTAGGATTACCGGGGTCATTTTTAGCTCCAATTTTTCTTATTTCAATGAATATTATAGAACCCGAGAGAGCTCCGTTTGTTGGTTCGGTGATTTGGGCGGGAAGTAGAACAGAATATTTTGCAGGCCATAGTATCATTAGTATCGCAATTATTGGGCAAGGATGGATATACTGCTGGTTATCAGCGGGAGCTTGTATGGCGATATTTAACGTATTTACGGCGACTATTTTTTCCATCTGGGTCTGCCTTGTTGAAATAAAAAGGTAAGCTACCCTCCATTCGCACACGGTTGAACTTTTACAGAAATTGAGAATTCTGAGAAACTACATACGCCACTGACAGACTCACAGTCGCCCGTCAGTATAATTTAAGGGAATTTGAGACTGACAGTGCCGAAATTTCTCTGTTAAAGTTCAACCGTGTGCGAATGAAGAGTATGTTTCGTACTTGATAATTAGACCCAAGTTATCTTTGGAAGCAGAAACAAAAATTGGTCTAATTTTAATGTCCAGACCATAACAGGTGCTCCCAAAATTCGATAATTAATCGATCCGAGAAACACATCAATTAATCTGATTACAGAGAAAAATTTACCTTCTGGCATATTTTCAGCTGGACAAAATTCACCACAATTTCAAAATTCTCACTGGCAGCAATTTTAATTCAACAATTAACCAAGTATAATGAATTAAAGATCATCGAAAGTCAAACTAACGCCACCTTCCGAGCCATGTTTCTACCCTGTATTATTCTCCTTTTCGCTGTTGGAAACATCCTGAGCACCTTCATCTCCATTTCGTATCTCCGGGATGGGACCTTGTTTCAAAATTTTGGTCACTTTTACTTCCTGTTGGTCAGTTTGGAAACTTATTTGGGGACACTCTGCTTTGGAACGTTGTCCGGAAAAGTGAACAAAATGTCGATCCAGTTTCTAAAGAATCTTGAGAAACGTAGCGTTGCAGATTACCCCGTTCTACGAAAGAGGATTAAAGCCTCTGCACCAATCAGGATTCGTTTTGGAAGTAACTTTTTCACAATTTTAATACCACTAGTTATGATTGGGGTCTGTATCAAGTGGACGGTTAAATTGCTGTTGATTAAGACAGAGTGTTAGTAAATATATGTAGGTAAATAATGTATGTACTCTAAATCCACGCAGGTTTGAACTTTTACAGAAATTAAGAATTCTGAAAAACTTCGCAACTGTCAGTCTCAAAGTTCCCCATCAGCATTATTCGAGGGAATGTGCGACTGACAGTGGCGAAGTTTCTCAGAATTCTCAATTTTTGTATGCATTTATTGGGCAGATAAAATTATGAATATTTCTATGAGTGAGGCACACACGAGTAAAAATAATATAACTCTTAATTATGTAAGCCTCAGAATGTTAGATAAGCAACATTTTGTATTTTATTTGAAGTATGTGACACTCTAATTTCGTACACTTTGCAGTAAAATTCAAGTAATTCGAGTGAAGGGGTAATTTCAGTGCCGTAATTTCCGGACCTTTACTGCGTGATATTAACAGTGAACAGATGTCGGTTATGAATCATGGATAAAACTTCAAACTCAAAATATGTATGAATTTTATATTACCGTATAAATCCCCAAAATATGCCCACTATTGTTAGTTTAGTTTGGCTTGTGTATGTATGTATGTGGTACCGAAGTTTACCAATAAAACAAGTTCGTTAAGGTTCATAATGACCCTACCATTTCCAAATTTTCGGGTGTTACATAAAGCCGAAATTTACAATTTTCTGTAAAATTCTCACAAAATGTATATCTAGAGTGGTAAGAAAACTTTCTTGCTATTATCTAAGAATTTCTTTACGAAAATCATAAAATTGTATTGCTATATATTAATTTTTCGTGCAAATTTAAACAAAATCGGCTGAATAAACGCCTCCGGTTGATTTGCATAATTTATTTTGCATAATACCCATATCCCATAATGGGAATTTGCCTAATTTCAAATTATTCAAAATATCAATTTCGCATAACTAGTATTTGCATAATCTTAATTTTCGTTCGATTTGTACAAACTTTGGTTCTGTCCAGAATTTTTGGTGCCTTGGTTCTCTCGCGCCACGCACATTGTTCCAATAAACAAACTAAATTACAAGAATAAGGGACTGGCTTCTAAGAAATTGAATGATCTTCACCAAAAATAGTTTGAAAGGGGAACCAAGCTAAGTATTCCACGAAATATGTATTAGAAGCTGAAGAAAAATTATAACCGGAAAAATAATAACCACTGAAATTAGCAAAATGTTAGGATTGATGCATGCCTGGCCCTGAAATGGTCAGATGGTATAAGTTCACTTCATAAGGTTCTACATATGGGGGTAGAAACTTATGAAGTCACATTGTTATATATTAATAACCCAAAAATACACTTGAAATCCTGGACTTACCAATTCATTGGCTATTGCCAGCACGAGTATACTCAATCCTAAAATTATGCGATATCCAATTATGTAAAAAGTACTGTTATGTGAAAAGGTATTTATTCAATAAAGATTAGACAATATGACCCTTATGCAAAATAACTTTATGCAAATCAACCTATAACCGAATAAACACTCAGATTCCGGGGTCGTGTCCTTAACGAGGAGTAATTTAATAATAACAAATTTATCGAATCCCAGTCCTTTATCTTACGTAGTCATTGCCTATGTTAAACATGGAAGGCCATACAGTTTACCACAAGAGATCCCAATTTTGATAATAACCATGTTAAATAAATCATTGAAATTAAATAGGCCACATAACCACGATAATGCAAATTTACCATTCGTAGTTCGTAATTACAATTAGGAACAATTCGTTATTAACGAAGTGTATGTCCCAACTAGACTAATGCAGGTCTGTGTTAAGGAATAACAATTCAGAAATTAATTAATCATTAGAAAGACAACAATATAAACAAGTTAATAAATACGTACACTCTTAAAAATCCAGTGTTAAAGGAGATGACAAGCAGGGTTATGTAAAATATATATATTTTACTCCACCAATGAAGTATTGATAAGAAACACCCTATTTGCAGTATTTTTATCTCGGTACTAAAAGCTCCACACGTCCATCATATTCTCGATATGGGGGG